CGTGCTGCTTTCTTGCAGGTAGTGCCTGGGCTTGCAGTCTTCTCGGCTGGGCGCGGCCGGAGAGGTGAGTCAGTCCTGGAGCAGGCCCGTCCCTCCAGCGCCCTGGGCAGCTGGGCTTGGGCCGCCTCGCTCGGGTGTTCTTTGGGGCTGGAGCTGTGGGAAACAGGTCGCTCCGTGTTTCTGTAGTTTCTTTCTATGTATTTCAAGATTGTAGCGGGATGGAGGAGTCTCTCTTTCCTTCCTGACTGCTTTCTATCGGGCACCCAGATTACCTCCGACTTTATGATGCAGGTCGCAGTAATATAGTACCTGTTGCTCCCCTCTGCACTCTCCCCAGTCGTTGCTTTTCTGTAGTTGCTGGTCTTTTCCTGGGTCTGGAGGAACGGCAAAGTTGTACTGGGGGATGTTGGTCACTGATGACTGTACCCCAGACTTCAGAAGAAAGGCTGATGTAGATTCTTAAAAGTGCAGAGCTTTGGTCTTTGCTAGAGCTTGTGGAGGTGAACGGCAGAGACCTGTGTCGCTGAAGGAAGAAATAAGTTTGTGTTGCCTGTGCTTTGCTTACTGTCTTGCAGTTGAACAGTTACATGCTAATTGTTTGTTTCACTCAGTTGTTCTAGTCTGTATGTCTCCCACTTGCTGCTTATGCGTGATTCTTTTTAGAAACTTGCTCAGCTCTTTTCTTTCCCGTTCCCCTTACTTACCCATATATAATGTACTTTTGTTTGTGGCTTGTCACTGTCGTCTTTTGCTTAATGTGTTTGTGTCCTTTTTCTTCTCCTAAAGGTATGATAAATAGAGTTGCTCTTCACATGAGGTTGAATTACCTTATGATAGAGGGAGCATAAGATTCCTTAGTTTGTCAAATGTATTAATGTGTTCTGCTAATACCAGGAAGACAATCCTTAATTCATTACTGCTTAAGTTGTTAAATTGCAAAATATTTATGTGCTTGTCAAATATTTTCCTGTATTAATTGATCATGTTATGTCTGATGTTGATGAATTGCATTGTGTGAAACTTTTAAATATTAAGCAAATAAACCAGTTTTGGTAAATATCTGAAAAAATATTCCATAACATTTAAAATTGTTTCTTATGCTGCCCCCTACTGATAAGATGTGAAAACTTAACAGTGTACAATGCCCTTTTGAAACTATGTCAATGTGTTCTGTTTGCCAGGCATTTTAAAAATGTTTTGCATGGTTTGGTTGCCCACACAAAGCCATTCAAGCCTTAGTAAAACTTGCAATATCTGGTCTTGAACTCATCTGTTTCTTGTAGTTACAAGTGGCTGCCCAGTATTGCTTTATCTAGTCAGCAGGGGGCAAAACGTAGCTATTTTTTTCTGAATCTGAGGTGAGCAAACCGACTGAAAACTAGAGGTTTTTTGCTATCAACTGCTATTGGCTCGATCGCATTTTGAAAGTAGTTTGGAACAGCTTTCCTTTCAAATTTCAGAGTGTATGAACTTCTAATACTTTGTTGATACTAAACTTCTAGTTTTTCAAGGGACTTTCACTGCTAAAAATGTTAAGTTAAATAAGTATTGGCTAGTCTTGGAGAAGATATAAATTGTTTGTGCGATTAATGAACCCTACATAAGAACAGAGAGGTGGCTGTGTCTTTGTGTGACGATCCGGGGACACTTAATGTAGAATCTCATGCTATATCAATATCAGTTGTGGTTCATGGTTTGCTTTAGGAAACCCGAAGCTGCATGTTGAATTAAAAAGCCCTTTCAATATAAACTATAGAGGGCTTGAACAGTTTTATTTTGTGTGTAGTCAAATGTGTTGGTTTTCTTTATCGAGTCAGGTAAGTTCACAATTTTCCAGATAAACTGCACATTAATAAAGAACTCACGTTCAACAGCAAAGACTGTGGTCTTGTCTTGCAGGTGGCTAGCAACTGGTAGCCTTTTTCCTCTGTCATGCATCCACACAAGCACATCTCTGCAGAAATTTGGGAAGTGGGAGAAAAAGAACAGGATTGTTTATCCTCCGCAGCTGCCTGGAGAACCTCGCAGACCAGCTGTAAGGATACACCTGTGAATTTCCTTACCTGTTTATGTTTAGCAGCTTCTGAACAGATTGTCACTGTGTCTGTGTGACTCCACAAAGCACTAGTTTGATAGCTTATTAATTTGTTATTTAAGATTTTAGTCAGTTTGACATATCTATATTGTAAAAGGTAATATCACTTTGAATGTTTTCAATTTCAAAATTGTATCAGAGCTTCAAGTTGCTTGCAGCTGATCACCTACCTAATGTGTGATACGAACTGCAAACAAAGATACCACCCTGTCTTTGTAGAAATCTCTGAACTATGAAGAGGTAGAAGTTACCAAGGATTTATCACCATACACTTTTTATATTGGTACTCACAGTAAATAACTAGAGAAGTATGTGATTGTTTTGTTACTTCTGTGCACAAAGATATAAATGTAACTTTCCTGAAGTAGTGGAACTAGTGGCGCCTGTTTTGATGTAGATACAATACAGTGTGCGCTCTTCTCATTTCTTAATTTCCCTGTGTTATAGATTCTCTGAGGTCTGATAATTTGTTGCCTCTTGCTGTAGCCTCTCCTTAACGAAACTATTCAGAGGTGGTTTTCTGTCATAGTGATTGCTTTAAATGTTTAATATGGACTGAGAAGTTCTACGGTTAGGTGGGAAGGGACATGTGAGTCGTGGTATATGACTGCAGGAAGTTTTTTCCTTAGGAAACCATTTTATACTGTACAGTGGGGTTGTTTATTTAGTCTATTGCGCAGTAACTTGTGTTTTACTAAACCAGAAACTGAAGCAAAGAATCTAAAATCCTTTGTTATCTGTATGCTCGGTGTAGGGCTTTCTGCTGGCTGTTAAAGACAACTTTTGGAAAAGTCACTATAGTAACATGGTCAATTTTTTGAATGCAGTCATAACAGATTAGTTTTTGATAACAGCAGGTTTATGCCTGTTTCTCCCTGTCCCCTCTTATTGGTCACTTTACAACTGGGAAGTACAGTTAAATTAAGACGCTTGCTTCTGTTCACGTTTAAGTTGTGCATGAAAACTAAATGTTGTGTACTTGGTCACTAAAGGGACTAATAAGTGCTGCTTTCTGTACACTGCAGCCTGGGAGAATTTTAGGTGAATTCTTCGGTATTTCCTCACTCTCAAGAACTGATATTTTGGAATTCCATTTTTGTAGTTATTCTTTACTAGGAATTAATGGCATACTGCTCAGCAAAATATTTGCATTTCAAATCAATAGTGTTTTTTGGACGTGTGCTATTGTGGGCTATGAATATTTATCGCTTCTGTGAACATCATGGCCTAGGACATAGAAGTACATGCTGCGTACTGTGCTGACTAATGCAATGTATGTGAAAATGCAGTTATTGACCAACTTGCTTATTAAATCAGTTTTGTATTTGTTCATAAAGAATGCCATCTTTTTCAAATTTGAATTGATGTTATATTTTACTAGCTAGTTTTGGTCCCTGTTGGTAAAGTAATAATGTTAAATGGGGCTTTGGAGACAGCTCTTCATGCCTATCAAACTTGAAACCCTCTTCACTTCTGAAGAGCTAATTAAGTTCATTTTAGTAATATTGTTTAGTTGCTATCCCAGTAAGTTGACTTGACAGCAGAGGAATGTTTTTAATGCTAAATGGGCATGTCAGTCTTAGACTGCTTCAAAAGGTGGGGAGGAGGAAAGGGAAAGATGATGAAAAATCTTCTGGTTATCTTTTACAGGGACTTCTGTTTATAAACTAATTCTCATGAGGTTATATTAAATTTTTTCATATGCTAGCTGCCTTTTTTAATGCTTTCAGTTTCAAATGTCAAAGGTATGCCTGATTTGGTATGTTTGTGGTATAGTAGGGGGAGTCATGCCTATTTTATTCCAAGTAAGAAAATAGATTGTGGAGCAGACATGTATGCTCCATTCTTGTTTTCACAGCAAAATTACTGATCCTTTAATTTTTCTTTGCACCTAGGAAATATATCACTGTCGGAGGGAAATAAAATATAGCAAAGATAAGATGTGGTATCTGGCAAAACTGGTAAGCAAAAAGTGTTTTGTACTGTATTTGTTAGAATGCAGAATTTAATTGTTGTATTTGACTTAAGAGCTTAATTCAATCACAGTCTAATCAACATCTTCATAATGGAGTCCTGGGCAAGAACATACATCTGTGCAGGCAGACAGTGGCTTGTAGTTTGGTTTAGCTGCTTTATCTTCGTACGCTCTCAAATGTATACCCAGGATCATATTCAGATTATGCATTGTGGAAGAATTTTTGTGTTGGTTTCTGCCTAGTAGTAGATGGCAAGGGGAACTTAGAGCAATAGTAATGGGCTGTTGAATGTTTTATCAAGATTTACTCAGTATTTAGCTCAAGTTCTGTATGTAAGATATTACATTGAAGAAATGGCAATTAAGAAAATAATTAATTTGATTTGCTCTTTATAATGGCAAAATAATTTAAATACTGTGTTCTGAATAAGAGAAGGGAAATATTTGTAATTGCAGAAGCTAACTTTAACACTTTGATTGCAGATAAAAGGAATGTCCATTGATCAGGCTCTTGCTCAGTTGGAATTTAGTGATAAAAAGGGAGCAAAGGTGATCAAAGAGGTATGTAGGAGTATTCTTTAACACTCCTAGTTTCAAGAAAACTTCAAAATAAATACCTATCACTAGAAGTTTGGAGATGTTTCTATTTCTGTGTTTTTCTATGTTTCTATTAAACCTGTTGGCAGCACATTCAAACAACATATTTTTGTAGTAATGTAGTGACGTATGAGTATGCAGAGGTCACTTGTCATTATACGCTAAAACAGTCAACACAGTAAATTGCATGGGTGCCCTCTCTAACAATGCTCGGTGTTAAGTTCATGGTAAATAATGCAGAATCGTTGTCACTAATAGCTGCTACATCTATGTGCTTTGGCTCTTAAAATTGTAAGAGATAAAGGATATCATCAGGAAAAGGACTGAGTTCTGTAAGGGCATGAAAGCTTTTCATACACTGTAATTGTTAGGAGTCTCAAATTGCTTATTTTCTTGGCCAAGCATTGATTTCTGGCATAATAATGACAAAGCAGTATCTTGTATTAGCTGAGAATATTAAATGGCCTAAGTTCATTTTGTCCAGCTTGGAATTTGTTTCTAGTCTGGTGTCTAATTAGACAAAGGTCCATGGATGGAAGGCTCACAAATGCTGGTGGTAACCATCTTTTCCACTCCCTTTCCTCCAAAAAATGTAATAAAGTTGTCCTGAAGCTTTTTCAGTCTGTATGCAAAGAACATACATAAAAGGTGTTTGTCTTTTAACAATTTTGATCTCTGTAGAATACTTTTTCTGTAAGTGACTTAAACTTGCAATTTCTTGCACGTTATCTAGAGATAAGAAATGGCATTGCTTAAATTCCTACTCAGTATTTCCATTTCTTTTCCTTTTGTTACAGGTTCTATTAGAAGCTCAGGAAATGGCAGTAAGAAATCACAACGTGGAATTCAAATCAAATTTACATATAGGTACTTTTCTTTTTTTTCTTACTTTAGGGCAGAAAAATGTCATCCTACCCAACAGAAAAAGTTTCAACCTCAAGATTTTGCTGCTTCAAATCAGCAGAAGTGATTAGGGGATAGTTTCTAGTAAACTTATCTTTGCCAAAACATGATAGGGACGTGCTTTCAACTTGCAGTAGAACTAAAGTTAGTGTGGTGGTTGAGCCTTCAGCCATCGATTTATTGTAGTTGGTGTCTGACCAGTGGTGTTCTGGAATCTGCTGGATGCATTGTTTTTAAGATGCATTCATCTTGAAGTGGAATTTCTGGTCCCTGTGTGAAAAGGAAGTCCTGAGGAAGATGATGCTTGACATGATTATGAAAGACTAGACAACGAGAAGCAAACTGTTACTAATTTTTACTGTTGCCAGTGAACATAGATGCTGGAAGTTTTGTCTGTGGCTAGTACTATAGCTTTGCAGGATCAGAATCCAAACTTCTGTTAGAAACAGTATAAAAGTAAATGAATATTGACAGTAGACTTCTTTAAAAGGCTTTGCTATAGATGATTACAGGATAAGCTTGTAATAACTACAGCACTTTCTTACTTAGAGAAATGTTTACTTGTAGTTGTTTTTAGGTGCAAAGTAAAAATTCCCATTTTGTCAACTATGGTATAAATGTTATTAAGCTGACCTCATAACTTTAAAGTAACCTGGATTGTAGACCAGATTTGATTAGAATTCTTTGGAGCCTTCAGGCCTCTGCCAGAAGAAGGTTTATCTACTAGTGCAGGACTGGATGTGTAGATAATGAAAATACCTATGATGAAAGCAATAAAGGGAGAAAGGAGGGAAAATGAAGTCTACGAGACTTCTACAGCAATTCATGAGACAAGCTACTAAAAAGCAATGGAATTAATACCACCTTCAGAAGAGCTATATCATCTAGTAAGTGCTCAGTGTAGCTTCATTTGAATTTGTCCTTCACTGTATATTTATCTTTGCGTGCTTTCTAAATTCACCTTTTTGGTACTCCTAAAGAGTGTTAATTCAACTCACGGGTTCCTCTATAGCAGTAATCCGCTAAATGTAGTAGAAGAAAGATGGAGGAGAGAATCCTGAATAGAATTAACTTTTCATATGCAGTCATGAAAAATACACTGGCAGGAGTGTTTCAGTTGCAGATATGTAGTAGTTTATTCTTGACTGAATAGTCTTCTCTCCCCCCCCCCCCACCTTTTTCCTTCAGCTGAGTCAATGACGGGCAGAGGCCGCTATGTGAAGCGGATTCGTTACCATGGCAAAGGCATGTTTGGCATCATGAAAATCTCCAGGTGCCATTACTTTGTGAAGTTGGTGGAAGGTCCTCCTCCTCCTCCAGAGCCACCAAGGACTGGTTTTGACCAAGCAAAAGAATACGTGCAGCAGCTGCGAAGCAGAACCCTTGTTAATACACTGTGACAAACTTTTGTGACTGTATAGGTATTTCTTGTTTGACAATGTAATTATATAAAAGAATAATTAAAATCATGTTTTACTTATATCTTTGGTGCTGCTGGAGCTGGATGATGCAAGAATGATCATAGGCTTTTTTCTTTTATTGTCAAGCTATAGGTACGGAAAAATCTTGGAAAAGGAGCAATAGATGTTACTTTTTGGGTTACTTGGACCACAGCATTCAATCTCTACCCTGGACTGTCAAATCTAGAATGTACAGTGCCGTTAAAGCTTGTAAGAAACTGTGATTGTCCTCAAACTCACACAGCTGTCTCTGTTATGTATTGATGGGTCTTTTATCGTAAAAATAAGTGCTTGACAGTCAAGTTGCAAGATCAAGACTTGAACTAAAGTTGCTAAAATTTGACATCTTAAAGTAGCTACAACTGTGGAACAAAACAAGTAAAGGTAATAGCTGAGTTTATCGGGCATCATTTATGGTTTCTTTGTCTGGGCCGTAATGCTCTTGCCTTACAGCCTCTGTTGTGCATCTTAGGCATTGTGTGTGAGAGTGGGGAATAAAAAAAACATTTAAAGTTCAGGTTTGAACAGGGTCAGTAGGTGGCAATGTTTAGTTTGTCAGAGAGGGAAGTGACAGTGAAAACTTACAGCATGTTGAAACTCCCTTGATTCTGACCGTGGCATTAATAGTCTGATATGTGCATGGAGTTCAGGCTCTGTGGAAACTCAGTATGGGTAAGAGGCACAATATGGAGAAGAGCTTGTCTTGGTGAAGAGTGAACTAATTATTCTGTACTGTCTGGAAACAAATTGCTTTTGTAATGTTGAGGCAAGTAAAATGCTCTGTGGATTTAATATGGAATGGCTTGTTGCATACACAAATCAGGCTTTCAGTTCTCTGAAAACAATCCCGTCTTTATCATTACTTCTTTGAAGAGAGAAAGACTGAGGTCAGTAGGGGGAATCTCATTTCACCCAGTCAAATTTTCAAGTCGATGGCCAGAGATCATGAACATCGGCATGAAAAGAGAATGAGTAGTTGCTTGTTTATGCAAATGTCTGATATTTAGACCTTTCTTTTCCATTCTGGGAACATTAGAATGGGAGATAGATTGCTTAGCTCATTTAGATCTTTTTACCACACCAGCTAGTGGTAGCTTCTTACACGTGTTTGTTTTGATCAGTACTTGAATCATGGCAAAGGGACGGTTCCTATAAGGAAAGAAATTATCTTTGTTGTATTAATGAAAGTGGCATACAGTTGTTTCTTTTGGCTACCAAAGAAAGAGTCTCATGATGTTAGAGTGTTAGGGGATAGTGAAGTTACACAAGAAGTACATGCCTAGCTCAACACCATTAATGGGTGCTTATTTGCACTCATTTTTTCTGCAGTGCACTTACAGATGCATTACTTGCTTTAAAGCCGTGATTTAAGAACTTTTGTCTGAGAGGTATGTTCCTGGTGTGTTTGAAGAACTGTTTCTGATGTACTATTATAAACAGCTGTGCTTTGCTCTACCAGCTGCTGTTAAACTTTTCTGTCATAATGAATCTCTTACAAGTTGTAGCAAACTTGAATGACAATCTTTTTGGGGCTCAGGGATCTGGGAGAAGACTATGGAATTGCAAAATAAGCCAAGCTTAATAAGTACTTGTCATCTAAGCATGTAAAACCTGGCTTCTAGATATCTTATTCCAGTACGTCTTTCTCTTGCATGCTGTACGTTTTGCTCTAGATCCCTTATGGACCCCCACACAAGGTTGTATCCTTACAGATATCATTGCTCTAGTTATGAATCTGCAGGTGGGGAGAGAAGTGAGAACATGACTGATGTTTTTTTTCAGCTTCTTTATGATGCAGCAGGTGGCCCTGACACTCCTTTAAACAAACAGACCTGGGCTTTTAAAATTTTTCAGTTAAAAAAGCAAGGTTGTCACTTGTCATTCTTGTTCTCTTTCTCAAAACAGTAAGTGGGAAGACACTTTTTTTGACATGTTTTTCAGCATTTCTCTTATGCCCTAGTCCCGTTTTCTGCCTTCTTGAATGTGCGTAACCTGTAGTAGATCCTTACAGTGTTGGCTAAGGAAGCTTCATAGCTGCGGCTGTGACGGTACAATGATGGGAGATTTGGTGAGATGAGGAGCTTGAACTGGCTCAATCCCTGCCTTTCACTGGTGGGACAGGAAGAGTGTCTGATGTGGTTTGTGTGATAAGTGCATCAAAACATTGGTATGGGAACATGCCTGAGCCTTTTAAAAATTCAGTAAGATCTAGTGATCTGTACTGTCAAGTTCTATATATAAATAAAATTTGGAAGTTTTGATTCTACTGTGCTTTCTTCGTAATTATTACATCTACACCTCAGTTAGATATTTTGTTGCGGATTCAGACAGAAAATTCCATGCTAACTGCAACAGGTCTTTAGCAGAAGATCATTTATTACTGTGACCTCCAATAAAAGAACATTCTTAAATGACCTGTCACCAGAAGGGAGAGGGAGAGGCACCTAGGCCTCTACTTGGTGCTAATTTTATTAGTAACATCTGGGGGCACTGTAAACTCACCACTTGCGTATTTATGTGCTGATGTTACAGAAACTGGAGAAGAAGCAAATACGCGTGAAGGTGTAGTAAGGCTTCAGGGAAATCTGAAGAGAGCAGAACTGTGAGCTGTGCTCAGCAATGTGAGATTTAATTGAGGAAAACTTAAAAACCTGCTGTTGGGTTTGTTCATAAACACTTTAAAGTAGCCAGTGAGAAAGTAAAAATACTTTTGCCAGACAACTTGATATCTTTTTGGATGTGGTGTTTGTTTTGTTTTTTTTTTTTTTTGTTTCGTTTTTTCTTTTTTCCTCCTTTTTAAAACTCTTGGGCAGTTATTGAGGAGATGGTTCATCAAAGGCAGAGTAAGGAAAGACTCATGAATATAGTTATGAAGTGATCATCGGCCTCTTTAAAAACATGGAAGATAAATGTGAGTGTGATAGACAGTGACTGGACAGTTGGGAACCTCTGATTCTGGTCAGGTCTGTACTGGAAATTGCTGTTGTGAAGTGGACTGCATTAGGGCTCGGGTGGTACCTGGGCACAGACTGGCATGTTCTGCCCGGGGCTTCAGCTGTGTTGCTGTACCTGGCATGAACTTGACTAGACCAAGGTCGTGCTGCACAACTCTTCTGATTACCCACATTTGCACAAATGGGAGGTGTGTGACAGTATGGCCTCCTCCGCATTGCGGAGTTGCTTGGGAAATTCTTCAGTCACTGGAGCGAAGGAAGAATAGGAATCATTGTTTGCTTTCTGCCAGTCTGTATGAAAATCCACTGCTGGGATGCTGGAAAGTCATTTGCAAACAGAATTCTCCTTTAAACAGAAATAAGGTTACTTCTAATACCCTTAATGAACCATAGAAACAGTGTGACATTCTTCACCATATGAGCTGTAGTGCTGCTGAAAATGTCCCTGTTTCTAACTTTTCAAAGAGCAAGCCTTTATTGCTGAATGACATCTGTCCAGCTGTACTTCAGCCATATAATTTAAAATAATTACTAAGTATACAAAATAAGAGACTGTAATAGCAATAATAATCACACAAGTTACTGTTTGCCGGACCCTTACCTAGAGAGAATAACTTGAAAGGAGGGAAAAGTTTCAGGAACTGACTTTTGAATGCTTAGACTGAAGTAAGGAACAAGATCTCTCTTGGGAGTAGTCAGGAAATGTAGAGCTAATTTTGTATTTGCTCTATAACATCAACGCTCTCTTCTTGTTTCAAGGAAGCTATACGCTGATACGGAGGGCAGGCTGCCATTGAAGAGAAGGAGCCAAGGAGAGCGTAACTTTACGCTGGGCAAATTAGGCGTCCAACTCTGAGCATTAGCTGAGGAAATGAATGTGAAAGTGTGTAACACTGGAATCGAGCGTTCTTGAAGCTAAAGATGTGGGGCAGATAATCTGAATAACTGCTGCATCTGTGGGTGCTACTTCTGTGTATTGCACAGTAATACAGCCATCAGGTTTTGTGTGGTAAAATGAATTGGTCATATGTGAACCTAGATTCACTCCCTCTTTCTTTTCCTCCAGAAATAATGAAATGGAGGCTTAAACCGTATTTGTATGGTATCTTTATTTTAAATTAGACTGGAGTTGGAACCATTGTCAACACTGCATCAAGTCACCTGTGTTTCTGTCTAAAATATTGGAAATCCAGCCACCTCTCTGGTAGCCTGTGCTAGCGCTACACTATTCTCCTTGTGAAAACTTCTTGCAAAGCTCAGCCTGAGCCTCCCAAGCTGTGATCTGTTGTACTTGTCCTTTATTCTGTTGCCCAGTGCTACTGAGAAGTGGTTGACTATCACATTGTAACTCTCCTGTTGCTGTCAGATCACCCTGCTTTTTGGCAGGATGAACAAGCCCAGCTCCAATCTCTCCTCATAAATCTAGTTCTCTAGCCCTTGTGAGGTATCCTTTCCAGTTTCCCCATCTGTGTTACAGTGGGGGGGACCTAAAACCAGACTCAGTTTTCCAGGTACAGCTTCACCAGCACTGATGAGAGGGAGATAACTTCCCTCAGTCTGCTTGCCATGCTTTTAACAGAGTCAAGTATGCAGTCTGCTGTATCTGTGATGAGAGCATGTTGTTGGCTCACATTCAGCTTGGTGTTCATGCAACTCCCAGGTCCTTTTTAGGTCGCTCATTGAAATTGCAGTAAGTACCTGTGGCATCTGTGTTCCAGCTCGCATTGCTTTTCTGTATACACTAGTGAGGACTCCTTTACCACCGGGAAGCTGTTCTGTGATGACCATTTGCTTTCCTAATAGAAAAATTGCAAAACAGTTTTCTGGCTTCTGTTATTAATCAAACTCTTAGGCTAGCTAAGAGTGGAGTAAAGGCATTTGTACATGTTATTGTGGTAAACTCCATCAATGTGTGCAGCTAAGTGGTGAAATGTGTCTACATCTCTGCTACTGATTATCTCCTTCAGAGTAAGACAAGCATAGGTCCGTACTGTATGCTGGCCATGTAAAATAAAACCTTAATTAAATGAAAACAGAGTGGACTGTGAGGTGCACTGTACTGGGCCAT